TTTTCCATCTTATTAATTAGATCATTCAACATCATAGTTAGTTTGAAGCTCTTGTCTACAAATTCCAACATCTGGGTTATCTGTGAGTATGCACCTATTGACTGATTTTCTCTTAATTTGGGGTTATTTTCTCTTTATTTTAATGTCTCATACTTTTTAACTTTATGTTTAACCTTTTTTTTTTGAGACAGGATCTTGCTTTGTTGCCCAGGCTGGAGTACAGTGGCATGATCTTGGCTCTCTGTAGCCTCAACCTCCAGGGCTCAAGTAATCCTCTCATCTCAGCCTCCTGAGTAGCTGGGACTACAGATGTGCACCACCACGCCTGGCTAATTATTTTATTTCTGTAGAGATAAGGTTTCTCTATGTTACCCAGGTAGGTCTTAGACTCCTGTGCTCAAGCAACTACCTGCCTTGGCTCCCAAAGTGCCGGGATTATAGGTGTGAGCCACTGTTCCTGGCCAATATGTTTAACATTATATGTAAAAGATCAAAGTAGATAATATGTATCCAGAAAGGGCATTAGTTTTTCCTCTGTTAGGCCACCAAAGCTAGAAATAGTTTTGTTAATTTTCTTTGTAACTTTTTTCTATTGATTTCTCATCTTTCCTATTTCCTTCTTTTAGGATTCATGTGTTCTTCTTTTATTAAAGTCTAAAAATGAAAGTTTAGAACATTGATATGAGACTTTTCTAATATAAGCTTTCCGTGGTACACTTTTCCTTTTAAACTTAACCTTAGCTGTGTCTAACTGATTTTGTTGTATTTACTATGTTGTGTTTTTACTTTTGCTCAATTTAAAATATTTTCTAATTTCCCGATTGACTTCTTCTTGGACCAATAGATTATTTAAAGAGTTTGTTTATTTCTAATTTCCTAATATTTTGGAATGTCATATATACCTTTTCATTGATTAATTCTGAATTCTATTTTGGTCAGCAAATATACTTTGCATAATTTCAACACTTTTAAATTTGTGGAGGCTTGTTTATGGCATAGTATATGGTCTGTCTTGGTGAATCTTCTCTGTACCACTGAACACAGTATGACTTCTGTTTTGTCGGTGGAGTGTTGTACAAATATATTTAATTCTTGTAATTGAATTGGCTATAGGGTTCTTCAGTTCTCTATATTCTTACTGATCTTTTGTTTTTTTCTTCTTTGTTCTGTCAACTTGTTATATGAGAAAGGAGTGGTAAATTTTCTAATAGTAATTATGCATTTAACTATTTCTCCTTGGTTTATTCATTTGAATGCTCTTTTGTTAGGCATGTACACATTGTTTTATATTCTTAGTGTGTTGACTTCTTTGTCATTATATAATATTCATTTTTATCTTTTATAATATCCCTTGTTTTGAAATCTACTTCGTGGTATTAATAGAACCACTCCATCTTTCTATTGACTAATCTTTCTATGGTATGTATTTTCCATTTAACTTTTTTATTGTAGTAAAATACACATAACATAAAATATGCTGTTAATGATCTAGCTAAGCTTTTACATGTAAAGGGGATTTCTTGTAGGCAGCATTCAGCCAGATTTTCCTTTATTAAAATATTTTAATCCATTCTTGTAATTTCTGTCTTTTAATTGTGGTGTTAAGATCATTACTTTTTAAAGTAGTTATTGACTTGGCTTTATTTGAATGTGTTAATTAGCTGTTTTCTGTTTGTTTTATATGTTTATTAATTATTTCTTTTCCATGTTTTTCTGCTTTCCTTTGCATTGGTTGCTTTTTTTTTTTTTTTAAAAAGAAACATAATTGTATTTTCTAACTGGTTTTATGGTGACTCTGTATTCCTCTCATGCTCTGCCAGAGCTGAGCTGGCCCACAGTTTCTGTTTCTCTTTGGATGACCTGTCTGTCATTGGATTTCTGACTGTTTGTTTTCCCTCTGACTTCAGATCACACTGCTGGGTTCAAGAAAGTTGTGATTTTGTAGTTTAGCTTTTTGTCATTATCAGGTTGGGAGCTATTACCTTTGCAGCTTTCTACATCTTAGAGGGAAGCGCATATCCCATAATATTTTTTAAAATTCCCTAAATCTGTTGTTAATAGAAAAAACAAACTCTAAATGTTTTAAAGAGGTTTATTCTGAGTAAATATGAGTGACCAGGGCCTGGGCCTGGTCTCAAGAGGTCCTAAAAATGGTTATAGGGTTACAGCTTGGTTTTATACATTTTTAGGGAGACAGGAGTTACAGGCAAAGACATAAATCAATATATGGAAGGTTTCTACCTGAAAAGGTGGAATATCTGGAAGCAGGGGTGAAGGTGTGGGGGTGGGGGTTGGGAGAGGCTTACGGGTTAGAGGTGGATTCAGAGATTCTTTAATTTTTGCAGTTGGTTATAGGAGTAAGGCTGTTTCTAAAACTTGAACTCAGCAGAAAGGAAGGTCTTAAGATAAGGATGCTGTGTAGCAAGATTGATGGCCTGCAGATGTGACTTAATCCTTGCCTTGTGTGGCTGTAGATCTTGTATAAGAGTTGACATGTTATTGCCACAGAGTTTGTTTTGTCAGCCTTAAGATCTCTATTTTAACATTAATGCTGATCAGTTATTGTACCTAAACTCCAAAAGGGTGGAGGTATAATGAGGCGCATCCAATCTTCCTTCCTGTCATGGCCAACAGTTCAGTTTTTAAGATAACTTTCTCCGTATTTATATTAGTCTATACCTAATCCTTGTACTAGCCTAAAGCCCTAAGGTTGATGAATTAGAGTGATGACTAGATGTAACTAAGCGAACACAGACATTTTCTAGATTTAAGAAATAATCTCAAAAAGATATGGGATCGACACCTTCCAAAGCAGCCAGACATGGAATGGAGAGGTGGTCAATTAACATTTCTCTCTGACAGTGTACTCCTGTATGTGTTCTTTGCATTGTGGCTCTTAGCACCTCTATTCAATGACACAAATTCAGTCTTTGAGACCCATCAATTTCTTACTATCAAAGCCTTGAGGCTTTGACACTTCTGTCTACTAAAAGTCAGAGATTGCTGCATTAAGTTAAGCAATTTAAATATAGTTTACTTGAGGCACACCTAATACAGAAGCAGAAGTAATAATTGAAAAATAATAGAAAAGGGATATACAAGGCAAACATTAAGCAACATTGGTTGATTGTATTATTATTCTATCGTTATGCACCCTTCTTTTTAATAAGAGGGATTGTGTATCTCCACTTACACATATCATGGGATTACAGGCATGAGCTTTTGCACCCGGTCAGGTATGTCTTTCTTATAACAATCCTGCAATGACATGAAAGCTACATTTTGTTTCCTTTCTTTTTTTTTTTGAGATGGAGTTTCCTTCTTGTCACCTAGGCTGGAGTGCAATGGCATGGACTCCGCTCATTGCAACCTCTGCCTCCTGGGTTCAAGCGATTCTCCTGCCTCAGCCTCCTGAATAGCTGGAATTACAGGCACCTGCCACCACACCCAGCTAATTTTTGTATTTTTAGTAGAGATGGGGTTTTCCCATGTAGGCCAGGCTGGTCTTGAACTTCTGACCTCAGGCAATCTGCCCACCTCAGCCTCCCAAAAGTGCTGGGATTCTAGGTGTGAGCCACCACTCCAAAAGCTACATTTTCAATGTGAGATTAAAAGGTATTTAGCAAAAAACACACTTTTTTTTATTTGCTGGCATGACTTCAGTGATAGCGTCACAAATTTGCTTTTCATTTTATACTATGATCCTTACACTTAATGCTTTTGTCTTGAAATGGTGAACAGCTGCAGTTGCAAATCTCAATCTATGGTACATACAAAGCAATTCAACTTTTTGTTTTAACTTCATGACTTTGCTTGTTGGGAGCACTTCCAGCATCACTAGTGGCACTTCATATGAGTCCCATGGTGCTACAAAAGACATTGTCAAGAATGAAAATACAAACCACAGGCCGGGAGAGAGTATTTGCAAGACATATCTGGTAAAGGACTGTTATTCAAAATACACAAATAACATTTAAAGTCTCAACAAAAAAATGAAAAAGCTGATTACAAACAGGGCAAAAGAATGGAACAGATACCTCATGGATGCCAAGTAACCATATGAAAAGATGTTTTCATATTATATATCACTAGAGAATTGCAAATTAAAACAACGAGACATATTCACATCTATTAAAATGGTCAAAATTCAAAATACTGACAACATCAAATGTTGGCAAGGATGTGGTGTGGCAGGAGCTCTCATATATTGCTGGTAGAATGCAAAATGGTATAGCCACTTTGGAAGACAGTTTGGAAGTTTTTTACAAAACTAAACACATTCTTCTCATATAACCCAGCAATCATCCTCCTTGGTATTTACCCCAAAAAGTTGAAAGCTTATGTTCATATAAAAACCTGCACACAGGTGTTTATAACAACTTTATTCATAACTACCCAAACTTGGAAACAACCAAGATGTCCTTCAGTAGGTGAAATAGATAAGCAAATTGTGGTACATTCTTACAATGGAATATTATTTAGCACCACAAAGTATGAACCACAAAAAGGCATGAAGGAACCAAGTTCTGCTTATACAGATAGATTCAGGAATTCTAAAATAATTAGAAGATTTATTTCAGCAATTTATTAAAATAAATACAACATGATCTCTACAGTGTAATAGTTACCAACTTTCACACATTTGAAAAGCTGGTCTATATAATTTTTATAGATGCATAAATTTGTAATGAAAATGTCAACATGAATGTGAATCATCAGCAATGCATTCTTAAAAGTGTTTTATGATAGGAAACAAGAGAGGGAAATGAAATTAGAGAATTTTTTAGAGGAACATCAGTTATATCTATAAATTTAATTGAAAAACTTCTCCAGGAAATACTGTTTAAATTGTAAAAAGTTGGGTGATGTGTACATAGGTGTTTGATCATCGTTTTGTATTTCTTATGTATGTTTGAAATATTTCACAATACAATAAAACTATTATATATTATTATAAGCGTTTGTGAAATATAGACTTAACAATACAGAAAGTATTATTTATGTTATAATATTTATTATATTAACAACAAATGTTGCAGAAGAAACTATTTGTTCAGCAGGCCAGGAGTTTTTAAAAAACCATCTTCCAGATCTTTTTACAAACCCCGACTATAATTCCAAATAGAGACAACATGGTTGGAGACACAGCACACACCCACAAAGCTTTTTCCGTAAAGATGAGAGTATACTGCAAGAAATAGATTGCCGAATCACAGAGCCCAGGTTACGCGACGTGTTTGAACTTGTTTGTTTAGGATGTCTTCCTTTGAGTTCACAGTGTGTGCACGGACAATGCTACGAGGCTTTGCAGCGTGTTCTGGTAATGAAATACCTTCGATAGAATTCTCAGATTCCTTACATTCTGTGTCGGATGTATGGATGTTCAGGCAGGTACAGCTACCGGTAGACAACTTGCACTCTAGGAGAGAGAGGATTCCTAGGGAAAAGAGATTCCAGGGAGTGGGATGAAGAGACAATGGAGAGTCAGAAGCAGTTTCCTCCAATTTGGCTGAAGACCCTGACCCAAAGCCCAGTGGATCCCTTTTAACTACCCAAAGCCATCTGGGAGGTGAATGCTTTGGTGGAAGAAACTGGAAGTGTATGTACAATAGCTTAAATTCGGCTCAGCTTAAGAAAATTGAGGATTCTTTTTGAAAGAGAACATGCTTCTTTTTGGGTTAGGAAGTGTAATTACAAATGAATTTTAAAAGACTTCTTAGGAAAGGAGAGACTTAGGTTTTGGTAGATGGCCATCTAGCATCAGATATTCTCTCTGCCCTCAAACTGCCTTGACACTACACTATACTCCCAGGGTCACTGTTCCTCTCCACGGTGGCTGAGCATTCTGTCTCAGACACCCACCTTGGTCATGACTTTGATGGTTATCTCTACCCTAAAGTGGGGGAAGGTGTGAAAGGCAAAATAAAAAGTGGAGATGAGGAGCTACCCTCTGAGGCCAGGCACAGCAGACATCTCGCATAAGCCTGACCTCCCACTCTTCTTGGAAGAACTGTCATCAGAGAATGAATCCAGGTGAGCTGCAGCCTTTTAAAATGCAAGGTTTGGCACTTTTCCCTCTATTCCCCTATCCCATCTTTTTAGCCTCCCCTCTGTCAGGGATGGATTGGTTCTTAACACCCTTCAAGGGCCCTGGAGACACTCACCACAGACAGACAAGAAGAAAACGTTTAAGTAAGCAGTATTCATGATCCAGGTGATCCTATAAGTAGAGAAGTGCACGGATTGGCCATGCTTCAGTTTATTGTGATATAGCATGAGTGCCCAGAGCAGAAGGATACCTGATGTCCAGACAAAAGGAAAAAAAAAGTCCCTTCTGAGGAACTTTGGCTCCTTGATGCAAGTCTTCATTCCATATACACTTGACTTCCCAACCTCCACCCGGTCCAACTGCACCTTGCCCAAAGACTGATCCTGCTCCTGCTTTTATGGTAGCTCTAACTCAGAAGCTACAGATATATATATATATATATATATATATATATAAAAACACATATATAAACACATATATAAACATATATATAAATATATAAACATATATGAAAACATAAACATATATAAATATATAAACATGTATATGGTTTTTTATATATAAACATATATATATATATGTTTTCAGAGACTGCAGCCTGAACCCACCCATCAAAGTACACCTACAAGCCTGTGTTAGGGGGGCCAGGAAGTTACCTGAGAAGAAACTGAGGATGGCAGTGAAGAGTTGTAGAGATTTATTTTGAGGAATCAGATAGGTGAATTTCATACCCAGGATTAAGTTAAGGAGGAAGGAAAGGCCAAGGATCGACATCATCATAATCCTGACCACTTTCAGGTCATCTGTTGGAAAGCAAAAGCTGTTTTGAGAGTACAGATATTTCTTCTAGACTCATTTCTACATGGGGTCCAGAAATCTCTAGGTGAAAATTGGAGTAGGGTGAAAGATTTGATTAAACAATAAGAAAGAAGTTGCAAAATAACAAAGAAGCAAGGGAACCTTAAGCTGAATAAGAGAACCAGAAACAATTGTTCTCTATCCTGGTGTCTCTCTATGTGTCTTTCTCTTCTATCATTTTCTTCAAACTCATTTCTTGTTAAATACCCTAATTCACCCTATCATCTAGTGGCAATACAGACAATTTAATGCCAGTTACCTTTCTTTCTTACCCACATGTCTAGTTGTGTGGATCACCCTGCTGCTACTGCTGAGACTTCTCAAATGCCCAGCAGTTAAGGCTGTGAACATACAAACTTTTCTCCAGAACACCTAAATGGTGAGATTTTGGAATCTGCCTTGACTGCATTGACTATGGAAGGAAGAACACTGCAACTTGAGAAGCTGCACCAGAAAATAATGGGTACATTAGTGAGATTAATGCAAGTTAAGGAAAGCAAAGTTAAGGACACACCCTTCCTTTCCACCCATCTCTTTCTAGAGTACAGTTCTGACCTTCTGGCCAAACAGCAGGGCAACATGTCATCCATGGACTGTGGTTTATCTTGATTCCTTCATCTTCTGAAATCAATTCAACCCATTCATCTAAGGTGACTCCTATCACCGTTAAGACTACGACCCAGGAGGACAAAAGTATGTTCATACCCTGGATACTTCTTTTTGAAACATGCACCATTGTGAGTGAAAATTTCTAGCTGGAACCACCACCACTATTTCGTAGATCTCTTCCTTGACTTGATTAGTTACAGGAAGGGTGATATCTGAACTTTCAGTGGTTGCTGAGGCATTGGCAGCAGTAGAAGTTGAAGTAGTCTATAAAACAGAGAAGATAGATAACTCCCACCCTTCCCCACTTCTGTATCTATCAGGGACAGCCTGCTGTCAGGACTGCCAACTGCCATGGAATCATCTATTGGTTTGACCCTTGACCCTGGGGCCTAGTTGAGTGAAAGAACCAAGGGGCCCAGAAGTCCTGAGAGAGCTATCAGATATAGAGATCTGACATCACATGTAGAAAGAGCTGTCAGATACAGGAATCATTAGAGGCCTTGAATGAAGTTAGATGTGAATGACTAAAGAGGTCCACTTTAGGAGTTAGAATTACATGCTCCAAGATTAGTTACCATTTGGCAGGGGTCAGTGAAGAGGAAAAGGATTTCAAGATCATTGAAATAAACAGTTAGCTAGCTAGTATCACAACAGGGAATGACCATTCAAAATTTAAGATGTTTGAAGAAATGTGTTTTCCTATTGTGAGGTCCCAGCGACATTTAGTTAGGCAGTCATCCAGGAAATAAACCATCATCCTGAAACCAAACTACTGGCCTGATACACTGAGCTGTTATAGCCCAATATCATTTATAAGGCGTAGGCAATCATTTCTTGTCACGATTGCCTCTGTAACTTGGAATATAAAACATTTTTTGATTCCTTGAGTAGGCATCAGAGTCAAGAGCTGGAGGACTTCTGCTGCAATCCAAAAAAAAAGTGTTTTACACAACTAAGATGAACTTCATTTCCAAAGGCTCACTCTGCTTATTTTCTGACCTCAATGCAGGCGACTTTCCTTGGGTCAAAATAGACTTTTTTTTAATTACCTCAAACATGTCAAGCTGTCTTTCTTCTAGATCTCTCTACACATCGTTGTATACTTTATTATTATTATTCAACTTTTTCATTTTTAAGCACAATACTCAACAATATACTTAATCTTATGAGGGAGGCTTTAGGGTTAAGAAAATGGTCTAAGGATCCTGGTTGTAAATTGTGGCTGTACCACTCATTAGTTGTGTGGTCTTAGAGATAATAATGCTTCCTACTGCCTAGGGATTTTGTAAAGATTAAATACATTTAGAGACATAAAGCACTTGAAAGAGTTCTTGGCACATAGTATATGATCTGTCAACAATTACCATAGTATTAATCTGGGTTTTCTGGGAAAAGTTTCTGAGGCAGGAATTTGTATCCAGGGAGTTTTTTGTGAAGCACTTTCGGGAACCACACCTGTAATTGTTTAAGCGAAGCAGTTTTGAGCAGAAGTTGAACTGAGAGGTGGTTGCAAGAGAAGAAGCCCTGGCTGACTCCACCAGGTGCTCTGGCTCTGGGGTGGTCCTTCAGAGTCATCCTTTAAAGAGGCAAGAATGCCTAGCCTTTACACTGAGCATCTGGCTGCCCCTAGGGTGTTATTTCCCTTCTTTCTCAAGAGATATTCCTAAATCTCCCAGAAACTGCAAGCCACAGCAGCTAACACTTCTGGTAGCCGTGGGGATGAACTCCCACCCTTCACCAATCCCATATCAGGGTCAGTTTGTTGTTAGGGTTGCCCCAGCTGCCATGAGATTAACTATTGGTTTGACCCTTGACCGTGGGGCCTAGGGGAGTTGGGGTACCAAGAGGGTATATAGGCAACTCCAATTATGCTCTTTCATGTTGATCATTTTGTTTCTATGCTATCGATTCTTAAGAGTAGAATGCCTGTGCTGAAAGGCTTTTGTCTCATTTTGGTTTTAACTGGTAGTGGCAGTAAAGATTCAAAGATGTAGCCAAATTAGAGAAAGAGATAGGATGTGAAGGACGAGTAAGATACAGGTCAAAAAAGAAATCAAGTTTTTAGCTAGGGAGAACTAGTCAAATATACCATTCCAGCTGCCATTCCATCTGCTATTCCAGCTAGTCAAAGATGCCATATAGTAAGATCTAAAATATGGGAGGAAGTGCAAACAGGGTGAGGAAGAACTTGGTAAGCACTGGTCTGGTTAAGCTAAAGGAGTTTACAACAGGCAATAGGCAGAACAAATTTAATTCTGGAACTGACAATAGATTTGAGGGTTATCAACCTTGGATGAGATTGGGTGTATTCAGGGGGTAATAGACAAGGGATTATCAGACTTGGGATAACAATTGAAACCTAGATGTGCATGTCACCGTGCAGAAGTGTCACACAGAATGTGACAAGGGATAGAAAAGGAAAGGCCACTGGATTTGGCAATTAGAACATCATTGGTGATTTTGGCCATAACATTTTCAGTGGAATAATGAGAGAAGTGGTAGGACGGTTTTTTTTTTTTTCTTTTAACAGGTGACAAGAGCAAATAAATAATGAAAAAGGGAAAAAGAAAAATAGAATTGTAGCTTAAGGGGAAATGTGCAATTTTGAAAATAAATTAGACAGTAGTATAATGAATTTCCATGTATCCTTCATCCAGTTTCAAAGTTCATCCTCCGAATTATTCTGAACCAAATCCTGACATAATTTTATGTTTAAATATTTGTTTGTGTCACTAGAAGATGAGGATTGATTTTTATTTTTTTGCTGTAGATTTACGTACTCTCTCTCTGTTTCTTCTTAATATGGTTTATTAGAGGATTATCAGTTTTGTTGGTCTTTTCAAGGTTCATTTATTTAGGTATTTATCCATTTGAAAATATTATTTTCAAGATCATATTTCATTATTTTGAGCTATTATTTTAATTATTATCCTTTTGTTTTTGCTTGTATCCCTTAAACTTCTCAAAATAGTTTTAAATTCTTTAATATATGTAGACTTAAGACCATATATTTTTCTCTAGGCACTGAGTTTGCTATATCTCATACATTTCCTATAACTTTTTTACTATTTTGCTTCTTATTAGACCGTTTTTAATTTTAGGTTTGATTTCACCAAGAATTCAGGGATTGTCTAGGAGAATCTCTTAATTACCAAGCAGCTATCAATTTTAGGTCACTGTTTAAATTTTGTTTTCTTTGTTAAAAATAAATTATAATAAATATACACCTTGCCGGGCATGGTGGTTACGCCTGTAATCCCATCACTTTGGGAGGCCAAGGTGGGCAGATCACCTGAGGTTGGGAATTTAAGACCAGCCTGGCCAACATGGTAAAGCCCCGTCTCTAATAAAAATATAAAAATTAGCTGGATGTGGTGGCACACGCCTATAATACCAGCTACTCGGGAGGCTGAGGCAGGAGAATCACTTGAACCCATGAGGCGGAGGTTGTAGTGAGCCAGAGGTTGTAGTGAGCTGAAGGCTGTAGTGAGCTGAGATTGTGCCATTGCACTCCAGCCTAGGCAACAGAGCAAGACTCTGTCTCAAATAAATAAATAAATACATATACTGAGAAATTTACTTTTCGAATTTGTCAAGGTTTCCTTTGTGGTTGAGCACATGATTAATTTTCATATTCCATCAGCAAACAAAAAGGTAAAATTCTTATACCAATAATGAAATTTATGCACGATGGAAGGTTATATAAATCAACTTGTTTATTGATTAGTTTAATTATTCTATGCTTTAATCTGCTAGGATATGTCTTATTTTGAAATAGCTGTGTTGACATCTGTCTTTATGGCTATATAGTTTGATTAGATCTTCTATTCCATTGCATTTTTGTATTGGTTATAATTTGTATATATAAAGTCTCATGGTTTTGGTATGTTAATTTTATTCCCACTGAATTCCTACCAAATTCTTGTTATTCTCTTGTTGAAAATTATTTTTTATATTCTCTTAGGTTTTCAAGTTATGATTTTATATGTTCTTAACAGAGATTTATTTTTACCTCCTTCTTTATAATTTTTATGCCTTTAATTGTTTCTGCTTGGTTCTTTGATTTGTCAGAGACTTGTATTACAAGGTGAAACAGTAGTGAAAATAGTAGGTTTCTTCGTCCTTGTCCTACCTTAATTGAAATGATGTTTCGCCATTATACAATATATGCTATATTTTTTAAGAAAGTAGACATTGATCCCTATCTCATCAATTAAAAAAGACAAATTAGGTGTTGAATTTTGTTAAATGATTTTTTGGTGTCTATGGAGAAAAATGTGTAATTTCAACTTAGATCTATTAAGATGATGAATTATATTAATGGATTTCCTGATATTCTGTAATTCTTCCATTCTTGTAATAAACCTCACTTGGTTATGCATATTATTTTTAAATGTTCAATGAACTTTGTTTTTGGTACTTTTGCCCTGGTGGGTAGAGTGAGGTAAATTTTTAGGGATGGACAATCAATATCAGATTTTAAATCAATGTTATGTTCTTTCCAACATGGGAATACGGAAATGTTCTTTCATCTCCAATGCTCAGTAACAGTTTGCAGCATTGGACTTACTAGCTCTTAGAGTTGTGGTAGAACTCCTTTGCAAAATCCTCTGTGCCTATGCTTTTATGCATTGTAGCTCATTGGCAACTTTTCCCCATTTCTTTTATGGAAAATTATGTGTTTAAACTCTCTATATCTATAGGGGTCATTTTTTATTTAAAAATTTCAATTTTTTATCTTAGTTCTGTTAGTTTCTGTTTTACACCTACATAATTTAGCTTACCTATTTTTGTTCTGAGTTTTTAAAAAATAAACTGTTTAATAGACTTTGGCAATATGTTTTCTAAAATCATGTTCATTTAGGTATAATTTACAAATAATAAAGTCCACCCTTTAAAAGTGTACAGATAGATGAGATTTTGATAAATGTGTGCATTTATGTAACCATTATAATATTTAATACATAGAACATGTCTGTCATCCCAAGACATTTCTTCATGCTCTTTGGTGGTCAGCCTCTTCTCCCACCCCTACCTTCCGGGAAACATTGACCTGATTTCTGTTTTTATAGGTTTGCCTTTTCTAGAATGTGATATAAATTGAAATCATGCAAAATATAGACATTTTGATCATCCACTTTGACTTAGCAAAATACGTACTTTCCAGATGCATTCACTTTGTTGGGTATATGGGTAGTACATTCCTTTTTATTACTGAATGGAATTTCATTGGATGATTATCACCACAATTTGTTTATTATTCTCCTTCAAGTGGAAATTTTGGCTTTTCCAGTTTTTGGCTATCTTGAATCAAGGTGTTATAAATATTAGCATGTAGGTCTTCGTATGGGC